AAATATGGTTGCCGCAACGTTGCTGCAACTTTCCGTGCTATCAGGGTATGCTCTCTATGGGTGGCTCCAATCACTTTGGCATATTTTTTTTCTGAAAATTTGGACAATTTCCAACAAAAAAGTTGCTGGGCACTTTTACTTTTGAATCATTCTACCCTGATCCAGGAATTATTTGAATATTTGTGATTTTTCATGAATTTCAAAAAAACCCTAAAATGGCCAACTTCGGGCCTCTGAAAAAGAGTGATAGATGGTCCCAAAAATTCTAATAAAATTTGGGGACATTTCTGACATCGAGAACAGCAAGTTTTTCATATTTGCAGAAAAAAAAATTTTTTGGCCATTCGATTTCACAGAGAATCGGCCATATATACAAGTAATCGAGGTAGAGCAGCCTCGTCGCCGACGGACCGAACGAGCACGGAGAGCGACTATGAGACTAACAACTACTGACGCAGAGCGAGATACCGCGACGAGTCGTCTATATAAACAAATTGTATGTTAAATTAATTATATTTAAGATTAAGCATAAGTACGCGAGATTTGTAATTCGAATAGATCATAATAAATTCCCCTTTTATGTACCCAATAATTAGAGTGTTCACACCTTTCACTTATCGAACCTACCATTCTCTTCAGCCAGAATAAGATCTAAAATAATTAATTATTTATGTAACAATCTACCCGTTACATTTTCTCGTAAATACGGCTAATTACTTAATTTCTAAGTCGCTGAAAAAGTATCAAAATTCATCTAAAAAAAATAACTGGCCCACAACGGGGGTATCAGATTTTCCGACAAGTCGCAAATTCACCGACAAAATTGCCATCAAACATGCCAAGCTAAATATCTCGAAAAACTCGGTACGGAAAAAGTAAACTTTATGTTTTATTTTCGATTTTTCCTCGTGAAAATGAAATTTATCGAAAAATCTGACTGCACCATGAGAAAACCACAGAAATTTCCTATCGAAAGCATATCTTCATTAATTTTTTCAGTCCCAACATCAATATATAAAAAAATTCATTGTCCAAAGATGGAAAATTATCAAATTTCAAATAATTCCATGAAAAGTGCGTAAGAACGCTTTTTTTGCATACAAAAAACTATGCGTCCAGTCCCAAAGAATACACCCCTAAAATTTTTAAGCGATTGTATAAAAAGATTTCGAGTTATCGTATGACCGCTAACACACGAAAATTAGACGAACTGGCCACGATACGACTTCGCTGCGCTCAGTTTAATTAAGCTTTATAAATTAATTTCCCTAGTGAAAAATACTTACTTTTACGTCTCGATGGATCCAGTTTCGGGAGTGAATGTAATTTATGGCATGCACTAGTTGTTTGAACCATCTAAGCACACCATTATATTTTATTTCTTTCGTCTCGACCAACCACTGGAGCAAATTTAGATTACCTCCAAACTCCATTTTTATGCAAAACAATTTTGAATTTTCGGTCCAGCTGCCATAATACTTCACAATATATTCATGATCGAGAGTTTTTAATGCTTCAACCTCTCTTTTCGACGTCACGGTATTCCGATCGTTTGGATCTCTAGTTAAACATTATTGATCATTAAAAAAATATTCAGTTGTAAAAATTTTTTTACGACTTACTCTGGCTTTATTTTTATATATTTAATAACATGATTGTTCTTTGAACTTGATTTACTTCGGAACGCCACCACCTTGCCAAACTTTCCCTCCCCCAGCGGACTAATTTCGTATTCATTTTCCATTTTTAACTTGTTTTTTTTCAAGGAAATATTTGTACTACGTACAACGAGGATTGAATTATGAATTAGACTCTCAACGGTTTGTCGTTCAATTAGGCGTTGGCCCTATCAAAAACAAATTCATCATATGATAGAAAGGCGATGATCAAAATATTTACATTTCTATTACGACAATAAGATTGGTTTCCTCTGTCAGCTTATTTAAATTTTGTATCATTTCCAGATGATAGTAATTAATAAAATCATTAATACAACTTTTTTTACCGATGTATTTGATAATGATCTTTGGTATAACTGCGTCATTCATAATTGGAAAAGAACATTTTTTTCGTGCGCGCATTAGTTCGCATTAAATAAGAAACAGCTAAATGAAATGGCACTTTGCTCGAATTCAAATTTCAAGTTGTGCCGCTTATCACGTGACCATCGTCGCACACGCGAGCGTGTACAGTTTCTGTGTCTCTCTGTCTATCTCTCTCTCTCTCTCTCTCTCTCTCTCTTTCTCGCACGCGCGCTGCAATGTGCATCCATGTTCCATTATTACGAGCGCGCGCAAGTGCACATCGTGTGGAACGCCGCGGTGCACGCGCGCGCATACATATATACTCATATACTACTAACTACTGCAGGCCTGTTGCCTGCCGCTGCCGCTGCTGCTGCCACAACTCCGTCCGCCAAGTCGATGTTACGTACTTACACATCTGTATATATGCATTATAGAGGTGCGCGCGCGCGCTTACGTTCATCCAACATTGAGTAGTAGTAGCATTAGCGGTGGCTCCGAGTGAAGCGGATAAATTCCGGCCGGAGCGTCGAAAGCGTATAGCGACGCAGCAGTGCAGTGTCAGTGTCGTGTTGTGTTGTATCGCGTGTGTGTATGTGCGTGCATGTGTCAGCAACAAAGTACGTAAACATCATCGCACCTTTATTAACTTATAACAAAACATAAAATTACGTCCAGTCGTCTGCGCGCGCGTGCGAATGTAGCTGCCTCGCTCATCATGTCCACCACCGCTACATAACATCGGCATCCGCGAAAGCGCATCTGTTGATGCATCGTTGTTCGATCAGAGATAGATAGAGTCCTGCATCGTGATCCATTCCCCGAATACTCGTACATAATTCAAAGTAAAGATACGGAGTGACGCGCGAGTGTCGCTCTTTCTCTTTCTCGCTCACATGCGTACATGAGATTCTTATAATCTGTGTGCGTCTCTCGAGTCGTGAACTCGACAGCAGCAGCAGCAGCAGTAGCATTTGTACACATATAATAGCGAGGCTAACGCAGTCTACAGTCGGTGGTGTGTGCCTGCCAGCTTGCTCCTGCTGTTCGCATTATTAAGTGCTTTTATTTACTATTTAGCAGTGCGTGAGTCCTCTCTCTTTCTACCGGACCGCAGACTACGATCGTCCATGTAATAATAATAATACGAATAATCGTAAGTGTGTATTTCACGAGTGTGAGTGAGCGTGTACGCGTGCCTGGACGTTACAGTACTCCTTCTCTACTATAATACCAACAAAACTTATAACGAGAGACTGTGTGCTCTGTGCTTGTTTTTTTTTTTTTTTTTTTTTACGTACTATACATATATATATATACTATTATGTACTATCGAGGCGCGCGCCAGCCAGCCAGCCCCGCAGAAGAGCGTCGCGCCATTTTGGGACGGCGATTTATAATAATACATACGCGCGATCATTGGGAAATTATAAAATAATACCAACTTGCACATAGGTGCAGGCGATAAACGCCGGGGATCATTCGGCGCGCGCGAGACACTCTTGCGTCTCTGCAGAGTTGTTGTTGTTGTTGTTGTGTATGTGTGCTATCCGCAAAGGCACCTCGGTGCAGTCGCGTCTCGCGTTCGATTACGAGAGTCGCGACGTATACGCCACCGCCGCCTGTTGTTTGCTTCGCTCTTGCATGCGCTGCTCGTGCTGCAAGGAGAAAAAACGACTGGGCCCCCGAGACACGGTGCTCTCGCCGATAATATAGGATAACGCTCGTGTGTGGATAGGTATTATATACATGGGCCGAGAGAGCCACCGGATTACGTTATTTTATCTTATATCGCCTCCCGAGCGATGTCCGAGGCATAATAGTAGCTTGTATACAATAAAACGATCGTCCTTTCTAGAGACAGTAGTCCGGAAGTCTCTCTCGAGGCGTGTATAATTTATAATTAATAAAAAAAATATATCCTTTATTTTTCTCGACGAGCCGCTTGTCACTCGATGGGTATACACACATGCAAACGCGCGCGCGCGCGCGCAGGCAGTGCAGGCAGTGCAGGCAGCAGCTTTTACCGCTGTCTCTTATTTTTTTTCTCCTCTTTGTTTTTGCCCATTCTCTCGCACGACGCTGGCATAATATCATACCCATAACTACAAATCGCAACTTTTTTTTTGTCAACAGCGGCAGCAGCAGCAGCTAGCTAGCTCGACGCTCGTCCGAGAGAGTGTGTGTTTTGGTTCCACGACGAGCCCTCCAGATAGAGCTCCTGCGCGCGCGAGAGACAGCTTGAGAAAGAGAGAGACAGCGAGCGAGGGAAGCCGACGGCGAGCTATTCATCGAGGGAATTCGAGACACGAGAAGCCCCGGAGCCCAGGCCCCGCGCAAAAACAACCACGACAATATGACCCAGCAAAACAAAACCGTGAACTTCGTGATACACGATGCCCACGGTAAGTACCGCCCCGATCGAGCGAAAAACTCTTTCTCATCTCCTCGGCGTACTCTCTTCCGAGCACGGTGTGCGATGGAGAGCGTGGTTATAATGGCACTGCGAGTGCTACGTTAGAGGCTTGACTTGACTTTATTCGTGCACTCGTCTGAACTGCATACTTTTTGGTGAAAATCAGCGTGTGCTTAGTCAATTGTAATGTTTGATAAATGCGTATGTGCCTGACAAAGACCAGGAGATATATTGTGCTATTCGTAATCAACATAATCGATGATCAATTTGTTATCGTAGTTGAAAATTCTACTTCTTTTGCTTATGAAAATATCCTGTGCTCTTTTAAATGCTTTGACGTATGACTTCAAACTTGAAAAAAGTGAAACTTGTCTAGAGAAAATTATTAACTTATCTGTCCAGTAGAGTTTATAAACCCTAGCTGAAAACGTTCTTATAACTTTTATAGTCAATTTACTGTACTCAACAATTTTTATACATAATTTTTTCTTATCGCATTTGTCCAATGCTGCAAATCTTGATAACATCTAGTAGTAGGAAATAATAATTTTAAAGAATTTAATAGAAAAAGCTGTAATATCAACACAAAAACCAACTCAGCTAAATGAAATCAAAGTATTTATCCAACCTCATAAACATGTGCCAAGCTTTCACTAATTGAAATTAATATTATTCCATCAGATTGTTTTAATAATTAGGTCAAGTTTTAAGAACCTGTCAAAAAATTATTTTTCAATTGATGCATGTGTCGATTACAATAATCTGCCATGATTAAAATTGAATTGTAGATATTTATGATTTTATTTATAACGCAAAGTATTTGAAAGATGAAATATTATTAAGCAATTTATAGATAAGAGATGCAAAAACTAATTCACCTTTATTGTTTTTTTTTGTTTTTTGTTTTTTATTTTTGTAACAGGAATGCCTCAATATATCAAACTAGTTCAAAGCACACCAAATAAAAATCTCAGTGGCATCGTTGGGTCTCCAAAACTTTTAAGAGCAACTAACCAAGAACCACAGGTAAATTTTAAACCAGTTATCCTTGACAAATTATAATCTGAAAAATTTAATTCAAAAAAATGTCATGGTATCAATTTTGATCTAGGTTGTAACAGCTAGCCAAGTGCTTAGAACTTTAAGTTTCCAGAATCCAAGTAACACTGGTCAGAGTAAGTTTTTTTTTAATAGTTTTAATCATTTTTTAATATCTTTTTTACAAATAAATGTTTATATTTCCTCAGGATTAGTTACAATACCTATACAAAATGCCAAGGTTCAGACAGTATCTACTATGAAACCTGCTGATCCACTTGCAAAAACAATACAACTGACTCCTAATCAAATGGTAAGTAACAAAAATTTAGGAATTCAGTCATAATTTACTCACTAATCAGCATTACCACTATTTTGTTACTCCTGCACATCATAGCTCTCATATCAAATTCATTATTCAATAAAATTTCCATATTTCCATTATATAGTAAAACATAGCTGAAACTTGAGATGGTTATTGCCTTGAAATATATTGCATTTTATTTAGCTTTTGTAACTTACAAAATAATACTTTTTTTAGCAGGCTGTCAATCATCAAATAATAAAAGATGCATCTGGTAAAACTTATATTAGTCCAATATTGGATCACACAGGAAATCGTAAACGTCAAGATACAGAAGGAAGTGAATCTGTTACTGAGTGAGTATTTTTAATCGTTTTTTTCTTTTATTGATTGATTTTTGAATCTATATATATTTTTTTATTTTTTAGTTACCCTTTTACTAAGCGTAGGAAAACAGATAAAGTAGGAAAAGGTCTAAGACACTTTTCTATGAAAGTTTGTGAAAAAGTAAAAAAGAAGGGTACAACTTCTTATAACGAAGTGGCAGATGAATTAGTTGGAGAGTTTACAAATCCAGCTCATTCTAATTCTTTAACCGATCAACAATATGATCAGAAAAATATCAGAAGGAGAGTTTATGATGCGTTGAATGTTCTCATGGCTATGAACATTATTTCAAAAGAGAAAAAGGAAATCAGATGGCTGGGATTACCAACCAATTCATTGCAAGAATGTGTCGCTTTGCAAAAAGATCGAAAAAAGAAAATTGAGAGGATCACTCAAAAAACCCAACAGTTGCAAAGAATTATTTTACAACATATTGCTGTAAAAAATTTGATGGAACGAAATCGTATTACTGAAACAATGTATGGTCCACCTAAGCCGAACTCTGCAATTCAGTTGCCATTTATTATTATTAACACAGATAGAAAAACTGTTGTTAACTGCAGTATTTCAAATGATAAGTAAGTAGTATATACAAATACATTTTTCTACTAGATAAATTTTTATTAATCATGTGTTTAATAATTTCAGAACTGAGTACCTGATGAATTTCAATGATAAATTTGAAATTCACGATGATGTTGAGATATTGAATGAAATGGGCTTGACATTTGGTAAGTGAACAATATACCATTTCCATTATTGCAGTATTTTTTAAATAAAAGCCTGTAATATTTTACTTTCTTTTTTCAGGATTAAATAAAGGAAAGTGCTCAGAAGAAAATCTTAATATAGCCAAATCAATGGTTCCAAAAGCTTTGGAAAAATATGTTGAGCGTATGTATTGATTAAAATCTTCATTAAGATATATTCTAGTTATGAAAAATGGTTTTTCACGATGGTTATTTTTTTTTTTTTTTTAGAGATGGCAACTGGAGATATTGAAAAGTTTTTACCAGTTCAGATTTCTGCTTCTAACTCTGGAGTCGATGACATTGAGTTAAAAATGGAAGCCTCTAGTAGACCACCATCATCTTCACACACCTCATACTCGGAAGAAGCTCCGTCGCCGTCTCACTATTATTCTGAATTTGAAGATGAAGAGGATAGTGAGCAAGAAGAGCAAGTAGAAAGTGACTCAGAAATGAACTAGCGCTCATTTGATCTCTAAAGCTACTGAAACTCATATTAAAAAAAAGCTAATCAAAATGAAACCAACAATTTCTCTCGGTGAAATCAATAAAATACAAGGACTTTTAAGTGAGCCGTTCTTATAAATTATGGTGTTGAATACCGTAGAATCGGTACGAAAATAGATTGTAAACGTATTAGCGACACATTTAAGTACAAGAGCATTTTGCAAATCTTGTGACAATTTTTTCACATGAGTGATGTGTGCATTGCACTGATTAACTATGATGTTTATCGTTATTATGAAGTTTTTTGTAGGTGAGCTGCTCAAATACACGTAAAACGTTGACAAAATATCGTGTAAATTTTTGATTTTTTTTTTTTTACATTTAAAATGTACAATGACGGTGGTTATTATTGTAACATTGGAATGAAACAAACAATTACACTGGCTGTCTTTTTTTCCGTAAGTTTCGTATATAAACAAATACCAAATAGTTACCGAAAAAACGACAGCTTTTATGCAGTATTTGTTGAATTTCAAATAATAATTTGGTCTCGTATTTGAGCAGTCAACGCAATGCATTGTTAAATATATTATTCTGTATGAAAGAGAATCAAATCATCAGCAGATTTCCAAGTAGAATTTGTGTGAATTTTGGAGTTGAGTGGGGCCAGTCATGAAAATCAATAAAATGTATGAGAGCATTAGATAAAACACTGAGGGAAAATAATTTTTTTTAGTAAAAATACTGGATTGAAAGTTTGAAATAACCGAGTTACATCGGAATTTTATAACAAGAAGCATCTCCAATCTTTTTGAGATTCACAATGACTGATGAGAAATTCGATGTTTTTTTAGGTATGCATCGTCTTAAGGGTTTTAGGCCCAATATGTATTGTACATTATATGATAAACATAGTACATGTACAAAATATTATGTACTATTATTACTCATTTTCTTATGTCACCTTAATGTAACTTTGAAGTATAAAAACTTATTATGATAGGCACAAAGTGTCAAAATAGATATGGAAAAATTGTAATAACTTTTATGCTTTTATTATATCAGTTGTAAGTGCACCTGTTATCATATAAGTAAATAGTGATTTCTATATTGAAAAAAGTAGAAAAAGGCCAACTTCACACAGAATACTGAAAGAATTTTGCTTCAAAAAATTTATAGATTACTAAAAAAAATTGAGGAAAGTTTGGGTTGAATTTCTTGAGTGCAAATATTACTTTAAATAACTTTTTATAGCATTGTCAGACTTTAGGCTTTAAAAAAAAACTTATTTTTGCGATTTAAGGTAAAAATGATTGAAAAATAATTAAAATGTAAATACATACGTAATATAGATTGTATTATCAAATAAATTGATATTATTCAAAATTTTAGTCTTTATTCATTATGTACATTGATCCAACAATTCACAATTTTTACACTGCATATAATAATTATACATTACGTAAAGAGTATTTGTTTGTAGTGAAAGGCTGGTTACTTTTTTAGTCTAGATCATTGTCATCAAACAAGTCGTCGAAATCTGAAAGTATAAATTATGAAAAATCAATGAATAATTGAAAGTAAACTAGAGGTATACGTCAAAAATAATGTAATTGTACGCATCAATTTAACCTTCTCTACGTTAAAAGATTTCTGTACGTTCTGATCTAATTGTACGAGCTCAACTTTGAATAAGTCTAATCGAAATAAGCATAAAACAATCAATTTAAAGATTGAAGCTGCTTTATTATTTATAAAACTATTTATCACTAGTTTCTGTACTTCAAGAAAATGAAGAAAAAAAAACCCCACTATCACGCGCCAAGAGATGTCAAAAACTCACCATTGTAAAAGTCTATGTGTACGGATTTTTCATCTCCGGCAATGTCAACCACAATGGGGCCAGATCCACCCGCCTGGAAAAAATCATAACTTTCATCTCCTTCGTCGTTCGAGTCGACGTTGTCCTTCCGCTGTCGTTTACTTACGATATCCTCCATGTTATCAGCGACCATTTCGAATGGCAGATAACGGCCGTGCACACCCTCGGGGAACATCTCGTCGGCAACGACCGGTGAGGGTTTCATTGTTGCAATTATCGTTTTTTTTTTCTTTGTCAATTGATAAATAAAACGAGTCAAACGCTGAGGTTAGGAGACGCGCAAACTGACGCAGTGGTGTGTGTTTTGACTTATGAAACTGTTTTTGCACTGACTGCACTGTCTGCTCAGCAGTCATATAGCAGTGCGCGACGCCGAAGACACTGACAGTCAACGACAATAGCGAAAGTGGCGACGATTGCTCGGCTGCGGCTATTTCTCGAACATTATCAGCCGAGGATATTCGTGTGCGTGATAGTTAACGGTATATTTTTGAAACGAGAATCAATAAGTAAAGCCATGTTTTTCAAGAGAAATAATGAGTTTATTTTCATGAAAAAAAAAGTTATCTGTATTTATGAAATAGGCTTCGATGAAAAGATATACAAATCGTTATTTCGCATCATGTATCCTTGCATCTCGTTTTCATCTTCGTACATTACTCTCGATACCGTTGATCGGCGTAAAATCATTTCTAAGGTCTCCCCATAGAGCTATTGCAACGAAAAATATCAACGACGATATTATAAAGTGATTTCACTTCGATAGTACACATATTATTATTTGTTTTTTTTTTGTTCCTTTTTATTATCGGTATACAAGTTCGCAACATGTAATATAAAATTTATATCAGCATCAACTATCCGTAATTATTATTATAATATAATGTATCGTACGCGTTGGCGTTTTTACATGATTTTTTAATGGTAATTATAGCTTCTTCTTTTTTTTTTGTATTTCTCATCGTCGTATCAATTTGTGATACACACATGAATAAATAATGTTAATAAAATGTCACTCTTCATCGTATCGATAGACATACCCTTGATACATGCCCATTCATCGCTCGCGGGAGGAGATTGCACAGCAAACACGCGAATACTTTTACTCTTCGTTATTTGTAACGTCAACGTTTTGTCTCCAAATATAAATAATATATGGCTTATGCTGTACTTAACTTTAATGACTTCATTCGTTCATTCTTTTTTATTCTCGATTGCTAAATGATATATCAATTCATTTTTGCACATAATTGTCATAATTCATACCGTCTGTAACATCTCCGAGCTGTATCAATTCGCAGATTGATCCATGCCGTCTGATTCCATCCTTGTTTTTTTATTTATATTTACAAATATTTTCATGCAATCCTCACTCGCACCCAATATTTTACATCGATATTTTTTATTTCATGATCAACAGTGAAAGAATTTAATATATATATCTCTTTAGTTAACTTATGTTTGGCACTTAAAACCTATTTACACATTCTCACGTTTTTGTACACATTTAGAGAAGTATTGATTATCCATTGTCCCTTAAGGAGGGTAAAAAAGGCTAAGCTATATTTAGAAGTTGATTTTCGAGCTTTAATTTGGAAATACACTTAGACGATACGATTATTAAAAATTGTATGTTTGTATTCTTCTCTCTTTTTTCTTCCTTATAAAAAAGATGAAAACTTACGAAATAGGATCCTGCCTCGCCATATCGAATCGCTGTTGATATACGTGCGTTTTTTTCGCAAATAAATTCATAAAATTGTCACCGTTCGAGTCGAGTCACTGTAACAATTCTCGTTCAAAAACGCCCCAGAGAAATGGTTGAAATTATCAATTCGGTCGCGAGCGATCGCAATTACAACAGCAACAAGAAAAAGAATACAACAATAAATGCACTTTGAATATTTATTTAATCGTTTTGCACAAAAAGACGATTCGTTCAATCAACGTTATTTTTATCGGCATAATTCTTTCGTTTAGGTATCGGAAAATTTACTCGGTTTAACTCTTCATTTGTACTAGCATTGTTAATTGAACTTTTTCTCAAACTCGACAGATTAGCCACGCTACGATTCATCTACATTATTATCAATCATCGTTAGAAGGTCCTCGCATAAATTATCACATTAAAATTACCAGAAAAAAATCATCAATCGCGACCGTGCTGTTATCTTCATTTTTTTTTTTTTCGTTCTCGACGATTCACGAGATTACAAGTTTTGATATATCATTCTATGTACATAATTATATAATCAAATACATATATATAAATATACACATGTTTATATCGTAGGCAGTTCACAATACATGGATTATATGATCGACGCAACACGCGCTCGGCCAATTTTTCTTTGACCCTCCCTCTCATCCGACTCAAAGAGAAGAAGAAGTAATGCGAAAGAAAAAGCGCGGACATTATCGTCGTCGTCGTCGTCGTCGTCACACAAGTACCATCGAGAGGTATTACACATCGATAACGCGCGCTTTCCACGCGAAAAGCCTTTGGTCCCGCAAAAACAAATACGGTATCTCGGTTCCATTAAGAAACGCAATTATGATAATCTCGTCGCGGTACGGCATTCGGGATCGGAACGAGAAAACAAAAACATCAGACAGAAAATTCCCATACATACGCTCGTAGTCTCACATTCGTACGCCATATACTCTCGCATGCGATTATAAATTAAATTTACAAAAAAAAAAAAAAAAAAATCATGACCAGACACACGTATACATTAGCATTATCATTATTACATATTATATTTTTTCTTTTGCACATCAGTCTTCGGTAATTAGATATATATATATATCATACGTACATATATATTTTTATTATTATTATTATAAACAAGGGTATACTACGGTCGCTTTGAATGTTCGCGTTCACAATCCAAGAGTCTGGTGGTCACTACTACTACAACTACTACTGCTGCTGTTACTACTACTACGACGAACGAGAAGCGATCACAACTTGTGATTGCGATGGCGCTGCCTCCTCCTCTCGGCGTCCCTCTGCAACGCCAGGGTGTTCTCGTCGAAGGCGGCCACCAGCGGATTCTCCGGCGGCTCGCGTCGATAAGACACCGCGGACGACCTCGACGACGACGTCGACGTCGACGACGAGGACGACGAAGACGACGACGAGGCGCTCGAGTTCCTGTTGCGCTGCTGCTGATGCTCGATGGCCTGCTCGAGCGCCTCGGCGCCGGTGGCGCGGCCCCTTATGCGCACCGCGAAGTCGCAGGAGTTGCTGGTGCCGTGGATCCGCTCGTACGTCCTCGAGTCGTGGTCCGGCCGATACGGATAGACCATGGGTACGGGCCTGTCGCACTCGGGGACCAGGCGGCTCTCCTTGGCGCACTGCTCGAGCAGCTCGGCGCCCTTCAGCCGGCCCCTGATCTTAACGCCAAAGTCGCAGCCGCCTCCGGATTGCGACGACTGTTGTTGTTGTTGCTGTTGCTGTTGCGGCGACGTCCTCGTGACGGTGGTGGACGAGCGCTTGCTGCTGCTGCTGCTGCTGTTGCCACCGCTGCTTTGTCCCTCGTCCTGGTCGGGCGGACTGGTCCTGGTCGACGTGTAGGACTTGGGGCTCTGGGCGATCGGCTCGAGCAGGTGCTTGGGCAGATTGGCCGTCTGTATCTTGGCGGCGCCGTTGCCACCGGCCTGATTATGATGATGGTGTCGCTGATCGCTGCTGATGCCGTCGATCTTGTCGGCCTCGTGGCTGCTGCGCTTGATGGTGATCGGAGTGCTGCTGGGTCGCCGTTTGGCACCGCCGCTTCCAGCAACGCTTGTGTTGCTACTGCTGGTGGTGCTGCTGGTGGTGATGGTGGTGGTGGCTGCCTCTGGTTGCGGCAACGACGCAAGCATCGACAAGGCCAGGCTTTTCGCACGCGGCGACTTCAAGTGATGCAGAATACTGTAGCTGTCGTCGGTCTCGTCGAAGTCGGGACCCTGTTTTTGTGGACAAGAGTGAGAGAGAGAGAAATTAAAATCAGTAACTTGGCTTGGGGGACACGTTATTTATTTTGATGGCAATTAAATAGTACGAGCCGAGGGTTTACTTACATTTTCAATTTTTTCGTCCAGCATGCGAAAGAAGTCTATCTGGCTGGTCGACACCTCGCTGCGAACAGAAAAGAAAAAACATATATGTAAAATATAAATAAACAACTTTGATAGCGGCTGACTCGAGGTTTATCTGTACTACTTAAAAAAGCCGAAATCGGCGTGTTGCGATTCGCCTCCGCGCCCTGTCGATACGTTATAGATACTTCTTGGAATCGAAAATCCCATTGTAAACGACGCGTTAATAAAAACAAAACGTATAAAAAGAGTAAATTATAGTCTTTTTCTCCTGATCCTCCCTCGCCGCATATGTATTTGGCATTTTCGTGTGTATATATTTCTTCACACTACGATGACACACATACATACAGCTCAGCGCGCGACACGTGATCAAAGTGAAAATCCCCGATGGCGAGCTTATCGAAGCGTAGACTCAAACGGTGTACACCTTCGTGCACGCCGTATCATATTATTATACACGTGAAGTTACAAAGGTATACATATATCGGAGGCACACACGGGGGTGGGCCACCGGCCCCTCTTTGCAAAGTGATTTATCGCGCGGAGGAGACTCGCGAGGGCCGATCGATATCGCAAAGACGCGTTAACGAATCGCGCGCCCGAGACACTGTTTGAACTCGCGACTTTGAAGATATATCATTGTTTTTATTTTACCGAAAAAAAAATTGTGATAAATTTTGCTATGAACTCACGTTTGCTGAACGAGAGGGCCACCCGGCGGTACGGGCCTCCTCGTCTTGTCGTCATTGGCGTCGTTGCGATTGACCTCGCTGCCGCCGCTGTCGGGCCGTCTGTTTCTGCCGTTCTCCTTCTGCGTCAACGAGGCCGAACCTGCTCAAAAACAAACGAAAAAAAAACAGACACGAAATTAGTTTTATATACATTATTATTATTATAAATGCGGATGGCGATAATTTTTGCAGATTTCATCGACGCATTCAAACGTTATGTACGATAAATCACGCATAATTGCGATAGTGCGCAGCGGCCCGTGAAAGAAAGCTATCTAGGAGTGTTATATATGTATAAAGTAGGCGACGTACTCGCGTGGATGGGGGGGCGCCCACTCGAATTTCGCACGCTACATTTGCCGGGTTAATTGAAATTCCTCGCGCCGCATTATAATACGTATCTGAGTAAGAAAACGCCAGCGCGCAGAGATGGTCTTTTGTGACCGTGCGTCTCCTTCGCTGAGCACGAAAAACTGCCTTTCGGCGCAACGTCGTCGGGATAAACTGGTCGATCTTCGGAAATTCGGGTCGAATGGAATGTTTTATCCAATCCAAATGTAATTCCTGAAGCGTCATTATACCGACGACGTCTTTTACACCGTCTCGACTGTTGGATAGGTAAAGCTCGCAAGGACTTGAAAAACTTTGGATTTTAGCAATTTTGATTAAATTTCGCGATTACCGCGTGTCGATCGAGTTCGCCTTTAACGCAAACTCGAGTATACCTGAGTCGGTGCGGTAACGCGGAAGCCAGAAAAAAAGCCATATAGACAGCCTGAAAATTGCGTATCAACGAAGACGCGCGTGCCGAGAGGATACGTCACGTGAAAATTTGATCGTTTGCCAGATCTCTCTTTCTCTCTCTCTCTCTGTGCTGCATTCCCGCAGTGGAAAATATATACTCGGGCTTTTTCTTTGCTTTTGTGACCTTATCGTTATCGCCGATATTAAATATATTTAGTGAATCGACGATTCGGAGATCTCTGCTCCTACTTCAAAGTCATGCATATATATACACGATTCGTATTCTAGAATTTTTCTCCTCTCTCTCTCTCTCTTGCTTTTGGCTTATCGCGACGACTTCGACTCGGTCACGCGCATATTATAAAACGTACACACGTACGTATATTTTACAACCGTGTGCGCGCGTGAAAGGTGTTTCTTATCGGGAACCGCACGTGCGGCCGTCCGCTACCGTATACATATCGCCTACGACTTTTTATTATCAGAGACTTTGCCGACTCCAAAAATAAAGAGTAGGAGAGAAATCTGTGTTGGTCTTTTCTCGACGACACGATAACGCGAGCCCAGAAAAAAAAAACAACTGAAAAATCAAAATAACAATAATGAAATTGCCTGTTTGATATACATGTGCGCCGAGCGACGACGCGCGCGAGTTACGTAATTAGTCGCGCTTCTATACTTACGAGAATAGAATTATACGAGAGTCTATACGTATCGTAGTGTCAATAAACTTGCACGCACACACCCACGCGGCGACGACGACGGCCTGCGCTTGGTTTTCCGTGCATGATATACCTTCTTTTTTTTTTTTTTTTTCATCTCGTCGAAACGCCATATTAAATGAAAAAAAAAAGGAAAGAAAAAAAGAAGAAGAAGAGGAAGAAAGGATCGTAACGTCTCGCGCGCGGTAATTGAAAAGCAATAAATTGCTTATTCGATATACGAGGGAGGGCGAATATAACATCGATGCACTTTTTATGCTCCCTCGTATATACGCTCCTCGAGTTTACTGCCAGGCAGCAGCAGCGGCGGACGTGCTCGCTCTGCGCGGACGTTATAAATGCGCGGAAAAATATGCACCGTGCGTGAGCGAGAGTATACTATATACGCGTCGAGCAAGAATGGGGCGATGTTCTAATTCTCTTTTATCGTGTGAAATTTCTTTTACATTGGACAAACTTTTACAAAATTCATTGTTTTGTAACTGATCAGGGCAATTAACTATATAATAATAACCACTGCCGTTCTCTGTTCATCTAATTTCTCGAAAGCCGGCATATATAGACACATATACACACGCAGAATTCAAGTTCAAGTTCGGCAACGCGCGGAAAACACTCGAAAAACCCGTTTGATCTATGTATAGCGAAACGCGATAGACGCGATGTTTACGACGATCGGTTTTTGAACACCGCGACGACGATGCCTCCCCGCCCGCGTGCGAGCGTCACGTGTGCGTTACCCATTATATGATACGCCAAGTTTCAAGGGCATCTCCCTTCGAAAGAAGAGAAAATTTCTGTGCTCCTGGCCGTATCGGTTCGGTCTCCGATTCAGTCCGGACTAAAAACATTTCCGTCGAGTCTATACACTCGAGCTTTGTGTGTGTACTTGAACCGAATACACATGTCTCTCTCTCTCTCTCTCTCTCTGTCGGTAATGTGTTTACGCGCAGAAACGGATTATCAATTTCGTTCGCCAGTCGCGCGCGCGTTTCGCGAAAATAGAAACGGATTTCCATTATCGCGCTTATTTTCGTCTTACTTCTTTTTACTCCAGCTCCGATTATCTATTATTGAGACATGCGAATGTTGTTGATCGATAAAAATTCCAACGAAAAAAAAAAACGTTGATCGCAACTACCGAGCTTTTTTCTGCTCTCGAGCTTTTCGCGCGAGGGGGTTCATAAGTATACATAATAATACAATAAACAGCGACCGAGGGACAGCCGTGTGAGAGAGCCATAACATTTTTGTTGTTCTCGCTACGTCGATAAATCAAGGCCACTCCGCAGCAGCAGCAGCAGCAGCAGCGCCGAGTAATGAAAATCACTGTCGCACTTTAGCACGCAGCGACGCATAACAACACACAAGCGATTCGTCACGTATACACACGCGCACGGCGGGCAAATAAAACGACGAGAAAGAGCTGCTGCTACGGTACTACGACTATACATAGCTTAAATGACCAAATAATGAAGCCTCTTTGCGCAGCAGCAGCTCGGCCGTGTGTACGTGCGAGTGTGCAGCAGCACACGGAGAAGCTGCTGACAAAAGAGGAAGAGAGGATTACGTTTAAAAGTACGTATATAAAAGTCCGAGTTGTGCGTAGATGTACACGAGGCATTAATGGAGGTCTCTCTCTCTCTCTCGTCTATATTATAAAAGGTGCACTCGATAAGCGAAAATACTTTAACACACATATGCAGCAGCGGATAGACATAAGTTTCACGACCTTGGCTCGGCATTAGTATATATATGGAGCTCCTCTTTTCATGCATGCGCTGCGCATTTATTCGAGGAGAGAATCGTACATACACACACGTCGAGTTAAAACTGGTTGATCGAGTTATGTTATAATACAACACGTAATAACAAATAATATTGTACCGTGGAATCTGACGTTTTGCACGTTTATTTATTTGTTTTGTTTTTCTTTCGCCGTCGTCGATTGTTAACTCGGTTGCCACGCGCGGGCGAAACATTTTAATTTACGATGCTCCACTGCGACGTCGATGATCTCGAAAGATAAATCCAAAATCGTGTTTTAACGAAATGTATCGTGTGTAAGACACCGGCAGCAGTCAGGAGGATGGATGTGCAACGGATTCTTCAAGCAGCTGCATGGAGATATGACTTTTCTCTTTCTTTCTCCGGTCGTTCATCGATTTTATATAGGAATTTCGGGGATCGACACTTCGAACACACGGAGAAGTTTCGCAAACATCGGTGAATCTCGATAGTGTAAACAAATCGTTTCTCGCGCTCGATATATATGTCAAAAGTATGCGTTACGATATCATCGAGCTGTCAAATAGTTTATACGCGCGCTCGGCTTTTTCGAGTTATTATCTCTCTCCATCTCTCTAATATATATATCGAGCATCGCGCGGACAGCTGTTACACTACCGCCTTTTTTCCACGCACAAAACAATGTGTCGAGCGGACAAATAGATCGATAAATTTGTATACATTTCTCGGGTGGAAATCATGGCTATTAGATAAGGCCGAGACTAAAAATAAATTCGCTTCTACGAATAATTACGTCGTACAATATGCATATGTATACGACAATGAGTCGAGCGCAACCTGTGCAATTATTTCATCAGATATTGCAAAAAATATATATTGTACATTGACACGAATCGATCTCGAAGCTGTCAAAAAGGTGCTTACGATACGGCGAAATTATCGCGACAAATCGATCTCTTTCTCTCTCTCTCTCTCTCTCTCTCTCTCTCTCTCTCTAAATATTGTATTGTTATGTACGGCGCGTCGTGACTGATCGAGCATGTGACCACATAACAATGTGCCCGACGAAAAATATATGCACAGATGAATCAGCGTGAAAGATCGACACGAAAAAAAAGAATCGATTCAAACGTGTGTATCGTCGTAATACGTTCTCGTAGCTTCTAAAACCCGAACTTCTCGTGACTTTTGTGTATTGTTTATCGAACTTTCTGCGAGTAAGATCGAAGTTATATATGGCGCCACACACTCGGACTAAGATTTACAATCTCGATGCGCGCGTGCAGCTCGACACGCCGATCGAGATCGTTCATCGTATACGGTACATAAATTAGCGCCGAGTAAAAATTTTTACGATTAAACTTGGAATGATTTTTCAAGAGAGCATCGGACTACTGACATTGCCAGTTTTACGACGCTAACGATCGCGATGTCATTGGAGAAGAAACGCGCGCCTACAAAAGGGAAGAAAAAACAATTACATGCACCGAGCATATAATAAAAGGACTCTCGTGCGCCGTTTATATTAATTTTACCTCGAAAACGTAGAACGTCGATAACGATGATCGAAGCGCGAGACGAGAACGAGCAAAACGCATTTTACGCCGTTATTGGATCGAGGTTGAGAGAGAAGTGAACGAAGTATGATTGATTGCCGGAAGCAATTGTACTTTGAGGCAAGACTCTCTCCGCGATCGGTATACGATGTTTATTTTCTCCCTCGATGTAGTAACTTTTGTAGTTATTCACGCGGGTAACGAGCTTTTTTTCCATCGAATACACCACTTCTCACCCCGTTGTATACTTTCGATCGTAATTTTATCCAGTTATACGTCGTGTTCTCAGCTGCTCTATCCAACTGTTCACGATAACGTCTTTCGCGCAC